GTTCCTCTTGATTTCTCTTTTAGAATCTCCGAACGAAGTGTTTCAGCGGAGTAGGACGTAGGACTTGGCCTTTTGCAAAGGACATGTGATAATCGTAAGCTTCTGAGTGGTTAGGGTCGAGCATAAAGCCTTTATTCTCATTTCGACCATTTTCCTTCTCAAGAATAATAGGCCTACTCCCATATCTAGAGCCAGAGGCAGTAATTAAAACTATGATCATGGCTCTATTTTTCATTCCACATTCTTAAGTATCGCTCCACTTAAGTAATCACTCCTGCAATATGTGAAAATGAGAAGTTTAAAGAACTCATGAGCTGAAACAGAACTAGTGAGAGGCTATGAGACTTCGTGGGCACATAAAGTGCTCGTTGCTAGTTACGAGACCTCATTCAATGACGCTTTAATGAGCAATTTTTTAAAAGGAGTAATGTCACTGTACGCTCCTGATTAAGCGGGGGATACGATGATTTGATGAAAACTCCCGATGTCCTGTTGACTCTCCTCTCAACGTGCCTATTAGGTTCGAGGATAGGAGACGTAAATAATGGATTTCTCTGGGGAAACTGTGAGGAAGGACCGACCGCAATGTCAATATCTTTCGTTTAGTCGTGGCCATGAGCTATCTGAGATAGTAAACATGCGATGCCGTTCCGACGATGCGATATAAATCGTGATGTTAGGTAAACATCACGATCACATAAGGAGATCTCTTTCTTCCAGCGGGTGGTCCACTTTGCCAAGCAGATTTGGCGATAGAAAGGCTCTGGGGAATTCACGCACGGATGCGTTCCTATCGTTCTGCCAGCATTCGTTTGCATTTCCCTTTTCGTGAGATAGCAACCGCTTCTGCAAAATGGACTACAGAATCGACTCGGCACGAACGAGGAATCATGAGGGGTTTCCGCATCGAGTGGTGGATCCGTTTATATTGTTCGCGAAAGGCTTTATTTTTAGCTTCTCAGCGTATGCAAGAACTTTGCTTGAATATGATGGAAATCCACGAAAAGGTGACGGTCGATGTTCGGGCTGAACGCTCTCATCAGTCAAGTCTTTCACGGTTTTAAATGGAATTTTGTGTCATATTTCCATCTGCTCGTAGACGGACCAGTCGATGGATGTCGTCGAAATGCCTAAAACAAAATCTTTTCAAAATCTAATATCATGGAGATTCATCTTAGAAAATCTGCTTTACGTTTGGCCTCAATTTATAAAATGGTATCTGTAATTATGGCTAAAAACTATTTAGTAATAATTATTATCGGTAAAGATTTTGTCAAATACATTACCTTGTTGAAAAGAACCTTCGTGGCATGGGATGATTCCACGGACGTCCCGCGTCCAAATGGGAAGCATATTGGGACATCTCACCCTGTTGAAAAAACCTCATGGGAATCTCATGAGTTTGCATTGGAATCTTACGAGATCCCGTATGGTTTCGTGTGATCTCCTGCGTCTTTCATGAGGTCCTGCTTGAGATCTCACAAAGGTTAAATGCGGCAGTATGAGCTTCATGAGAAGTGCACGAGGTCTCATGAAGTATTTGTGAGGTCTTGCTTTACTTCTCAGAGACTTAATTTCACGGGTTGGTCAGCTGAAGTGCAACTTTTTCTCCTACACCTGTCTCACCTGACATAATCCGTTCATGTCTTTGCATTCTACTTGCCGAAGATAAGACGAAGCATTTAACTCTACCATAACCGTGAGTATTCGCCTGTCTTCGAACTACGGTGCCTGGTCAGAAGTAAATCGACTCTCCATCTGGAGTCTGAATCTGGAATCTGGGGTGTCTATTTACTCATACAGAAGTGCACAATGGCTTCTTTTTAATTACTAATATGGAAGCATTCTCGATTTAAAAAATACTCCGTTAATGGTTGATCTATTTGCACTTCGGCTGGTTCATGAGTACAACGTTTTCGTGAACCGGAGTAGTAGTTGGAATGTAATAGTCAGAACTTGGGACCGAGTTGATGATGACGGGTTTATTTCAAATGAGAGGGGTAGTGCGAAAGCAAATTGATCTCCCGCGTCAGGCATACAGGTACGAGTACAATAGCAAAATTGGGTCAAGATAGGGAGAAAGAAAAAAAACATAAAAGCATGAGGATGATATGGTCACAGGAAGGGGGGGAAGCACCAATACCATAATTTTTGTGATAATTTGTGGATGCTTTCAGGTCAACGGCACTTTAATTAATCAGGTCATAATGGAACTTCATTATGAGGTATTTAAAGCCACTTTTTAGTTGGATCTGGGCTATCCTACCCACATAACATTGGTGCGGAATTAGCAGAAGATGGTGCAGCGTCGAGATGAACATGAAATGGGAGGTCGCTGCCCTCGCCGCGCACCCTCCAGGCTGGGAATGGATATTTCTAAGGCCGCTGTTCGGGTCACATGACCACAGCTCCGCACACGTAATCATCGTCTGTTTTTTTTCGCCCTTTTTTCGCATTGTCTTGCTCTGCTCAGCACAACGCATTCATGCTAAATTGAACCTGATTTCTCTTAGGTCTACCTGTACCTACCGTAGGTACGTGTACGAGGGGTGGCTGAAAAGTTCTTGGCCTAAGTAGGAAGGGCTTGTGGCGTGTCCTTTATATGCACAAGCGACAACGTATTGTGATCATGTGTACACAGTTTCGTAATGCCTTCTGAGGTTTATTTTCAACAAATCATTGCGAGTGCTCATGCGTAACCGTCAGTCGATATGGAGATATTTGAGCACCGGGCCGTGATTCCATACCTTTTCTGAAGGGCTCAAGTGCGAAAGACATCGAAGCGGATATGCAGCAGACGTAGGGACATGAGGCACCGATGATGTTATTCGTCTGTGAAGATGCAGGTCGCAGATTTCCAGCGTGGAAGAGAGAGCCTAGAAGACGAACTCCGCAGTCGACGTTCTGTCTCGGCCACAACAGAAATAAACATTAAAGCTGCACACGATATCACCAAGGGTAATCCTCGGATAACCACACGGATCATCGCAAAACGTCTTGAGATATCGAAAGAGCGCGTGGAGCACATCATCCATCGTGAGCTGAAAACGAGGAGGGAGACTTCCCGATTGGTATCCAGAAACCTCATTAAAGACCAGAAACGCCTGCGAGCTACCTTGTCACGGCAGCATCTGGAACGATATCTGGCGAATAGATATGATTTCCTGTTTCCAGTACTCTTGTTCCCGTATGTATTGTTTGCAAATAAAGTTGTGTCGATGTCGACTTAGTTCTCCAAGTGCAATGTTGTTAGGCACAGAGGACACCCTCGGTATCCAACGTCAAAATTAGTTATGCAATGTGTCACGTTCTGCCCGATTTCAAAACACCAAGTTTCGGGCCCATAGTTCGCCACTGGGAGGATTTTGGAGTCAGATACTTTCAACAGCAAGTTCGAGGAGGAAGGAGAGTATTTGATTAGGGTCGGTTTAATTAAACCCAGGGCTTCTCTATCTTACTGGGCAAGCGAGTTTTGGGCGATTCTCCACGAGCCACAAGAGCTGAAGATCATGCAGAGATATTTATAATATGGAATGATCTAAATTCATTTATCGCCGAAAAACCATACCTCGCGCTGTGTAAGGCGACCACCCTGTCGGAAAACAATGATTTGGAACTTTTGCACATTTGCAAAATTTTGCACATTTTGCACGTGAGTTCCAATTATCTAGTTATTCTTTGAAGCAGTCAGCTTGTTTTGTAAAGGCGGAGGGGAATGTCGCTCACAATTACTAAGTCGCCTGCGTACATAAGACACGACACTGGAAAGTTATACAGAAGCCAAGAAGTAAAGCTTATTCTCGCTATCTACTTGTTCGGACTTGTTCTGAAATGAAGTGTTCGACCGTGCCCCTTGATCCTACCGTACGATCATGCTTGGATCATTATAATGACCTGGTTGAAGAACTATCATTGCTCCTCTTCCGAATCGCATTAACTAATCATTTGAAGGTGTGTCTGTATATCATTATTTTTCTGCGTTTCTAAATGAAAAATGGAAGATCTTCTCAATCTTTAAACCATCAAAACTGTGGAATGAAAGTTAATGCGAAGTAGCCCCAATCCTTGACAACCCCACATGTGGACCTCATGGAAACAAGTAAAAGAAAGAAGACTATCATAGGAATCACATCGTTTTATTTACTGAATTCCATTTCACAGACCATGGATGCCTTTTTTTTACTTGCATATACAGGCGATTCAAGAAAGTGTGACATACTGATTTTTGCAATAGCTCAAGAATAGTGATGAAAGTAACTTAAAAGTTTAACAAAAATGAGTGTGGTTTCCCTACTATTTTAACATCCCTGAACTTAAAAAAATTCAAAAGCGTTGAGTGTTGACATTCCTTACGGAAAAGCACGTAATTCAATAGGCATGGCGACGTCGTGCGCAAGACTAAATATGGTACACGGTGAAAAGTGCCCATACCCTAGTAGAGAGAAAGAATTTGACGTAAGTTTGACGTTCGGACCATCTTGCGTTCTGCCGGTATTTGCCTCGGGCTTCTCAACGTGGGATCACGTCGGGGACCCTGATTTCGCAAAAGTATCCAGATGCCGGCCAGGAGCATGAAGGGGGTTCCACCCAGTTGCCGTAGCTGTTCGGTAACGCCCAGATATTCTTGTAGGCTACTGCGAGGCATCCATCCCCTGCATCCGGTTCGACCGGATGGAAGTGGCCTTGACCTTTTGCAGTGATTGTCACATTTGTGCCTGGAAGGGAAGTGACAGATCTTTTGGAGCACGAATAATTACTTATAATTGTAGCAATTAAGGAAGCCCCCGTCATTCATTCTCGAGACATCATCATCTCAATGAGAAAAGAATACCATCTATGCCTTCTCTGAGTCAAGAGGATGACGTTTACTATCGCCTTGCGAAGAACTTTAACTGCCCTAAAAATTACACGGCACGTCTATATCTTTGCATATCTCAGAATGATTTCATGCTCTCATAACTATAGCCTTCTTGAACGTTTTAAGATCGATCTTACAGAGCTCAGAGATCAATGAGTGCATATAACCTGAGCATAAACCCACCGTCCCTGAAAAACCAAACAAAGTGGTTCGGTGGAAAGGCCTTTCCATCGACCCAGAAGTTGTAGTAGGTAGTGGTGAGCTTCGCTGCGTTTTCCATCATGGTCTCGTTGAGGTAGTTGTGCACGGGCTCCTGGTTTGGGATGGCGAGGCCAGCGCCGTCCTTCTCGCACTCCGTCTTCGCTTCTGCAACGTTCTTAGTCGTGTCCAAGACGATCTTCACGTAGCTCTTTGTTCCTGGCACCAGATTGTAGCCTTCCGGAAAGTCATATGTCATTTTTAAAGCCATGATGGAAGTAGAGTGACTGAAACATGTCAGTGAAGTAAGTATCTATGAAGTAACAAAAGGCACTTGTTTCATGAAGATTTCGAAGTTTAGTGTTGTTTTCTTGGAGTTATACGAGATACGGTTCTGAAACAACACTGTTTCCTCATATGATCAGCAACGTTCCCCTTACAAGCGAAATTGATGTGATTTGTAATCGGCCGTTTTAAATTTCTAAACTTATTTCGATGAAAATAATTCAATTCCCTTGAAATTTTACCGAAGATTGAAGGAAGATGCTTGTGAAATCCTATTTTCTTTTCAAGGTGACATCACCAAGATGAATATGGAAGATGGAACGAACGTCTAGTCAAATGGTGATAACAGAGATAACAGCAGACTGAAGCCGATTCGGAAGAATTGGAATAAATTCCTGCTGGTAATACCCATGATTACGGGGAATACAAGAATTATAAAGAATATTTCGCGCCCATGATATCAATTAAACGCCGATTTTTCAACCGTCAGCGAGCCCAGAGGAGATAACTACTTTAGGTGGGACACTTATTCACATTGCACATGTTTCTGGTTTCAGAAGCACATTTACACATCTGCACATCAGAAACACATTTACCCGGTGGCACATTGGTGAAGAAGAACTCGCTGTCGGGATCGGAAATCCTCGTCGGGTCGTACGCGCCACCCAGCCGACACGTCGCGAATCCTGCCGACTTTGTGATGGAGAAGCTGTAGCACGTCGTTTCGCTGAAAGTGCAACAAATTCCGTTGTCGAGGTGCATCATGGCAATCGTATTCTCTCGTTCGTCGACGTGTGAAATAAGACTTTGGAGTTTGGCGGACGGAGAGAGTAAATGATTCAATTTCTCATCTGAAAATTGGATAGATTAACGAACGTAACTAACGAATTCCGAGAGTCTTTAGTCATTTTTGTATAGATATGTACGTATCTGCGAGCTTTTGATCTACTCATGAAGAAAAAAGATCGAAAGCACCTCTAAAATACTCAACTCCATATGACGTTGTCGACGAAAATATTTGAAAGTCATCCTGGGTCGACTAACCTGAGGCAAGCCATGGTGCATTGCAGGTCCGATAGAGCAGGAAACTCACGAGTTGGGGACGAAATCTTCATCTTCGCGACCGTAGGGGCGTAAAAGTTTCCCGAATTGATGGCCGCCATCGCCGTCAAGAAGAAGCAGATCGAGATGCAGAAGAGGAGCTTCATCATCCTCCGACGCGGATCGTTGGGACGCTGCAGCGTGGGCGCCAGCAAGTACGTAATATATGCTTTTTTCGAGTCTCGATTCTGGCTTTCCGGTCGCGTCAGTCGTCTGTTATCCGCAATGACGCCAACCTGCGTGGTATAGACCTTTACTCACAATGAACCCAGCGATCAATCGATTAATTGGCCGAGTAAATAGTATTGCATTCTGTATTAACGAGAACGTTTATTATACCACGTCGATCGTGATCAAGTATTAAAGGCAGCTTGAACCCTAGAATCCATGACAGGGATCTTTGGGACTCATGACGTTTCATTCAAAAATTGTTTAGCTTATGGAAGACGAGATTCATAGGTTCCTTACTTGGCCATTCCGTCGATAACTTGAATGCTCTTGTTACATGGGTTTTGGGTCCCATAGACCCGATCTGAAAATATGTATAACAATTGCTCGTTGCATCCTAGTATTGAATAATAAGAAAAATGAGATTGTATTTGAAGATTGTTCGCACGACGCCCTTAACCCTACTGATTCCGTCCTGACCAATACGAACCTTCCCGAGGGGACAAGTTCTAACATCCTTCTTTGTGTTTCAAATAAGGGCGATTTTTTGGCGCTCGAGAGAGTACAGAGGAGGGCCACAAAAATGATTAAGGAGGTTAAGGGACTATCATACGAGAAGCGTTTAGAAGTGTTGGGACTGTACTCGCTCGAA